CCTATTAGCGATGGCCTCCAACCTATTAGCGATGGCCTCCAACCTATTAGCCATGGCCTCCAACCTTAGAGCGATTGCCTCCAACCCAATAGCGATGGCTTCCAACCTAACAGCGATGGCCTCCAACCTAATAGCAATGGCCTCCAACCTAATAGCGATGGCCTCCAACCTAATGGCAATGGCCCCCAACCTCTTAGCGATGGCCTCCAACCTAATAGCAATGGCCTCCAACCTAATAGCGATGGCCTCCAACCCATTAGCGATGGCCTCCAACCTATTGGCAATGGCCTCCAACCCAATAGCAATGGCCTCCAACCTATTGGCGATGGCCTTCAACCTAATAGCGATGGCCTCCAACCTAATAGCGATGGCCTCCAACCCATTAGCAATGGCCTCCAACCTGATAGAGATGGCCTCAAACCTATTGGCAATGGCCTCCAACCTAATAGCAATGGCCTCCAACCTATTAGCGATGGCCTCCAACCTAATAGCGATGGCCTCCAACCTAATAGCGATGGCCTCCAACCTAAGTGCGATGGCCTCCAACCTCTAGCGATGGCCTCCAACCTACTAGAGATGGCCAAAAGACTCCTGTTTAGCTTGTTACCTCTTGCTGTCACTTAGCCAGTAAGCCTTACTACCTCCAACACATTCCAGCTGAGAAAAAATGCTTAGCTGCTTCCTTTTACAAGATTAACAGCAAACTGGAAGACGTGACAATCAGTGTCGCCTCCAAGCATTGCTCTCAGCACATCTGCTCAAGGATATCCCTAAGTCTTCGCTTCGTGGTTTTCACTGCATCTCCGCGATTCCTCTGCGATTCCTTTGCGATTCCTTGCTCATGTGTTTGATCCCAATGACGTGCAATGATATCTCGGTTTGAGGCGTCTCTTGTCTGACATCTGCAACAAACAAGTCTCGTTGGCGAATACAGGAGCAAGCTCATGAAGTCAGTCACTGTCCACTCTTCCTCATGTGATGATTCGTGCAACTTGGCAAAAGGTACCATGATTATCTCCTTTTTTGAAGGCATGCTTTTTGAATTATCTACTCTGATGTCACAGAGCTTTCTGTGATCATCAGTGAGGCATCTTGAATTCACCAGATCCAAGCTGGATGCAAACTTATGCTCTGTCTATCTCTGTCTTTTCATCGACAATTGTCACTAAAGAAGAACTTTCATTCATACCTTTCCGCTAAAGCTGCGCCTTCAGCCTGCTTCCTACTGCTACAAGCTGATTTTTCAGCCACCAACAGCTTCTTCAGCGTTCACCAAGCTTGTCCCCCAGCTCGAGAATACGGATGAACTCGTCCTGGCACGACCAAGCTGTTGTTCAATGAGTTCCACGAGCAGACTATATTAGACCTGTTTGTCCTTTTCTGTTTTCTTTGTTTCCAATAGCAATGGCCATCCAAGCTAGTAGCGATGGCCTCCAACCTAATAGCCATGGCCTCCAACCTAATAGCGATGGCCTCCAACCTACTAGCAATGTACAAACATTTCGGATGCTGATGCTGTCCAGTCTGCGTGATGCTTGCTCGGTGAAAGGAACGTTACACACTTAAAGTCTTTCAGTGCTGGGAAAGTATGCTGATGAACTCCGATGCATTATGAGATACTCGGACGGAACCTTGCAGAACCTCATGTTTTTCCAGCCCCCCTTTTCCATCAACTTGGCACTTTGTGTGGCAAAATGGATCTACCATGTTGACTCGACAGCCTCACATCAATCGGCCTTTCGGGCACTTCGGAGTCAACACAGCAAGTCCACACGGCCACAAACGGGACCAAACCGCCCGAAAGTTCAAACGAATTCACCGACATTTGGCTCAAGGCCTAGGGCCACCGGAGCAAAACAAGGTCTAGTTCTAGTGACCTTTGACAAGGTCAACAAATTCGCGATTGTCCCAAATGGTCAATCCATTTATTTGACCTGAATTGTATTGGACACTCATGCAACAAACTAGTCCAAAGGACCTCAACATATGTGGAAGGCACACCTTGTGTCAAACAAGCAATTGATTTGGATCGTCAACACCGTCATCGTCTTCACAATGATACGCCACTGGCTGCCCTCCGACTTGGAGCAGGGCAACGTGAGCAACTAGACTCATGAGCAAATTCAGAAGAGAAACTCGTGATACAAGTATTGACCACATCCATCTTCCCTGCTGCTTGATACTGAACTTGAAGCTCATCACCTTCTTCGGCTTCCTCCAAACAGGTCATAACAGGTCAAACAGGTGGAAGAACAGGTTGACTTTCTGTGCAAAACCCCGACTCCAAGCCGGTCTTTCCTGCCTTGTTTCCTTCCCTTTTAGAGCTAAGTTTCCCTCAAATCCGAGGAACCAAATGAATAGTTCGAGCGCTATCCTGAGGTTTACTAGCTACCTAGCTACGCCCTACCCCCCCTTAAAAGATATAAATTAGTGATATAAAGAAAAACAACGTGTCCTGTATAAGTGGATGGTCTTTCAAGACCTTTTGGAAGAGCTGCCACTCTGCTGGAGCTTCATCGGTCAGGGACAAGCACTGGATCTGCGACTTGTTGCGCAAGAGGCACAGCTTCAGCTTGCTGTCTACATGTTCAGAACGCCACCAGCAATGAAAGCGAAGCATTTGGATGGAAGACTTGAGCGGGCAAGTTCCAATGCCTGAGATCAGAAAAAGCAACATCAATGATGGCCTCCATCAATGCATCTGTTTCAAGCCTACAGCGTACAGGCGTACAGCCTATATCAAACCCAGACCTTCCGTTCCAACACGAGACCGCGTCTGTTGGTCTCTTCGTCTTGGTTTCACCACTTGTGGGTCTTCGACAACGCCTTTGTGCATGAGATATACGAACGTCTTATCTCTAGGAGCAAGGACGCTACGTTCGGGGCTCCTGGTAGTGAGAGGGTGAGTCCAAGACCGAAACTGTGCTCCAAGACTGCGAAAGTCGGAATGAAGGTCCAAAGAAAAACAAATAAAGGTCTAAAGTCTAAAGGTGTAAAGGAGGAACAAGAAGCTACTAGGAGCCATATGCTAAGAAAAAGAAAAGAAGAAAGTTCAAAGGAAGTAACGAAAAAGAAGAAAGATCTAAAGGAATGTGGGTGCTTCACCCAGCTGACAACCCCCAAGTGATCCAAAAGGTCACGTCTACCGACACAAATGGCACGTGCGCTCGCGTGATCGGCCTTTCAACACGCTGATGGCAAAGCGAAACACCACTAAGAGAGACAGAGACATGACAACCTTAAGCTATCACTGTTGTGGAATAAAGAAAGTATAATGTTATAACTATTATATATGTTTTAATTTGTGGGTGTACAGTAACCTACAATTCCTGTCACAAATGTGTGTTATTCTTTATGACTAAGCCAAAGACTTTGAGGCTGATCTGTGACCTCACCGTGCCAGTGGTGACGGATGTTCTTGAGCCTCCTGGCGGAATAGCAATGGCCTCCAACCTCGTAGCAAGCTAAAATTAGACCTTGTTTCCTTTTCTTTTTCTTTGTTTCTAATAGCGATGGCCTCCAACCTAAATAGCAGTGGCCTCCAACTGAACATATGCTGTTGAGTCAACGTGTGACTCGACGTTGTCAAGCCTGGAAGTACTCGTAGCTCGATATTGCTCGCAGGCCTTGCAACAATAGCCTCGTCTCTCGGCAACATAGGAGCACATAGGGTTTTTGCAGCGACCAGTCGTGAGAGCTTTGGCTGTGATTTGTTGGCACTGCCCTTCATGCTCACAAGATTCAAGTTCCCTTGGTACCAGCACAATGCTCATACCACTGGCCATCAATCGACACCTCTTGCCGACCTGATATTTCATCTCAAAGCAGTCTCCGGGTTTGGCATCTTGTACCCAGACGCTTCCGCGATCCAAGCAGAACTCGAAGTGACTGGCCACACGTGGTGCAGGTTCTTTCCCACTGATCTTTCGACAATGCAACTCCTTCCCATTCCGCACCAAAGCGATGTACAAAAAGCTCTTCCGCTCCAATTCGCCCTTATCCTGCCAAAATCCTCGGAGATGCATCCTGGCTAATGGCCATGGAAGCGCTGGCGACATCACATGGCCTAAGCCCGGGCCCAAGCACCGCTCTCCGAGTAGCTTCTTGTCCCTAGTAGTATGGCCAGGAGCCCCTAGTGGCGTCCTTGCTCCTAGTAGGGATGCCCTTTGCTCCTAGTAGCCCTTCTTCAGGGATGGCCTCCAACCTAGTAGCGATGGCCTCCAAGGCCTCCAACCTAATAGCGATGACCATCACTTCTGAAGGTGATGTGTTTAAGTGATACAAGGAAAGACAAAATGGAATGAATGGCGCCAACCGTGGCTTATCCTTCCAAGCGGCTCTTGATGTCCTCGGAGATGTTTCTTGTGTTGATGTCAGTCCTCAAGAATTCTCGACTGAGCTAGGACATCTGGTGTGAACTCTCCTCTCCGTTTTGATTATCAGCTTCACATAAGAGCCTCCAATGAGGTGAATATCACGTGAACCAATCTCTCTGTTGAAGTGAACACCCTGCTTGATAGGAAATCTAAGCCTGTGGCCCTATACCCTATACTTCTTTGATGCCCTTCTTCTAATCCTCTGCAAATGATGCGGCATTGAAAGCCAAGGAACGGCACATCCCAAACAAGACTGTTGTCATGCAATTTTTGGCAGGTTGCGCCTGAGTTGCACGGACACAACAAACGCTACGGTCAACCGAAACGTAGAACTGAAAGGATGTCATGCAACTTAGGCACAACAAAAGGAGGTTGCAGCTTGATCACATAGTGGTTCTTGAAGCAAATACGCACAGGCTGGGTTCTGGCAACGAGACTGAAGTGCACCGGCACCGCAGCCCATGGCGGTAGAGATGGCAGTCGGATCGGCCCGGTCGGAACGCATCGCTGAAGAGTGAAGTGGAGCGAGCTCAAGCGACAGAACGACAGAACCTCATCCCTTTTGGAGAGACGTCATCCATTTAAGGAAAGAGAGTGTGTATGTTACTTGTTTCGTTGGTAAGTCCATTAAGCCAAAACCTTTAGGGTCTTTCCAAGCCTCAAAAGGCTAAACATGGAACCGTGAACAGCGTTCCTGCTTAAAGAGCTGAGACCTTTTCCGAAGTAATCTTCTCTTTCCTTGACAGCTTCAATAGGTAGTGTAGTATGACATAGGATGACACTAGTAAAGACAAGTAATGAGTAGAGAAGGAATGAGCAGCTAAAACAAACGATGGGAAGCTTGAGCGAGAGAATCAACACTGCACCCAAAGTCTCAGCCACTCTGGCCTCTGTGAAGGACAAAACCCGCGCTGCTTCCATGTGGGCACGTTGCCTCTTCAGCACCTCATTTAAAAAAAGACCAAGTCTGAGCAACAGAACACACTGCGGAGACAGGTTTACATCCGTATCACGAGAAGCAAGGCAAAGCGCACACACGGGACAAAATGGCAGCTTAAGTTATGACCTGTGCATTCGCTACCAAACTGTGCAAAGGCCAGGGACATTTCTACTTGGTTCAATTGCTGGCCTCAATCAGCTTCATTTGCTTCTTAAAGGCCCCGACCTGAAAGCTGCCAACATAATTCTCTAATACGTCGGCTCATGGAACCAGCAAACGTCTGAGGTCGCTACGAGCTCTGTTCGTTGTCGTTCCAATTTTCTTACCTTTCACTCATTGGCACGTGTTGTATCACCTGTCCTGTTCCGTATGCAACTCTGAAATGCAAACTATTAGGGTGGAGGCCATCGCCACTAGGGTGGAGATCATTGCTAGTGGGTTGGAGGCCATCGCTCTTAGGTTGGAAGCCATCGCTACAATTAGTGTCCTTGCCTCATTGGTCAAACGATCTACCTCCCGTCGGTCGGAACAAACTCGATCACGTTCCTTGGCACAACATGTTGCGCGAGGAAGAATGCATGAAATCTGGAAGTCGCTGCAAAAAGACTATTAGCAAGGTTTATTCCTCTTCCTGTCTATCCCTTTCTCATGTGTGTCTTCCTTGTTTTTGTGTGTATCTTTAGACCATTATTTCTTTATGTTCTTTATGTTGTGCTTTTTGTCTTTAGAGTTTTCTTCCATGTTCTGTGTTCTCTTTCAATTTCTGTAGACCTCTCGTCTATTCTTTGTGTCCTTTGTCTTTTTTTCCACCTTAGATATTCCTTTAAGGTCTGGAAGGTCGCTGCAAAAGAAGTGTGATGAAGTGGAATGTGGGAACGTGATGAAACGGGAGGTAGTGAGGCTGTGCTCAAGTGCAATGTGGTGATGCTCAACTATGTGATGATTTCCTCTTTAAGTCTCTGCAATTCGGTTTCTCGGCCTTTTTCTGTTCTTTTTCTTTTGGTGTGTCCGTTTTCTTGTGTCTTTAGAGTGCTGTTGATTTGTGACTTTTTCGTGGATGTTATTATCTTTTGTTTCTTTTGATATTTACACCCTTCCTTTTTTTCTACAATCTCTACAATTCCATGGTTTTGTAGGAATCTCGACGTTTGACTGTTCTGCATTCCTCCCCGCAAATCTCCACATCCCGTTGTTCAAGCCGCGTCTTTGGTGGCCCTGTGGTATGTTGCAGGCGTAGGTCGTTCATCAGTTAATCAGTCGACAATATGGCGAAGCAGTATGCAGTATGCAGTTTAAGAAGGTATCAAAGCAAACTTCAACAAGGCCATCTCTACTGGGTTGGAGGCCATCGCTATGAGAAACAAGTACAACAGAAAAGCAAGAAAGGTCTATATTTTGTTTGCCTAGGAGCGATCGGACGTTCGGGGCTCCTGGCCTTACTACTAGGAACAAGAAGCTACTAGTAACAAGTGCATCGCTTCTAGTAGCAAGTGCCTTACTAGTAGTAACAAGAAGCTACTAGGGACTCCTGGCCTTACTAGGAGGCTACTCAAAGGTCCTTTCTTTCACCAAACTGCCTTTCCGCACCAATCCGGATCCTGAGTCCCTTTGAGGTCCGCGCGCGCGAAAGCGCATGCGCACTCCCTACGGTTTCTTTTTTTCAGCAACTTGGAACCGATTGGACGTCTGGTTCCTTGAAATATCTTGCTCTTTGTCTTTATGTCTTGCTCTTTGGATATACTTGACCTCCTTTGTGCTCTCCGCAAGGACGCTACTAGGGCTCCTGGCCGTACTACTAGGAACAAGAAGCTACTATATGCTCTCCTTTCCTTTCTTGTCTTCCTTGAGACCTTGTCTTTTGATGTCTTTTGTCCCTTTGTGGTTCTTCCTTCATGTTCTTGATTGAAGCGTCGGCCGTTGCTGGACAACCTCAGCCTAGATATGCCTAGATCCTATCGTCGAGTGGCCTGCATATTTGCATCTTTGGCAGCTGCCTGTTGGAGCAGAGAAACGTGGGGAATCAAGTCTACTACAAGACGAAGCAAGCCAATGCATGTGCAAATATGATGCATCACTAGCGGTGTTGAACTGGTCTTGTCACCTCAACGAGACCTCCCCACTCAGAAAGCCCGAGTGTTGCAGCAGTTTCAGCTACTATTCAGGACAATTCAGTATAGATTGAACAATCTTGGCCATGAAAAAGCATGTCAAAGCATGCCACAGCCTTCAGCTTCTCACATTCCTCTGTCAAGCGGTTCACTCGAGCCTCCTGTGTTCAGGCTCAAACTCTCTTACCTCTCTTACGATAGTGAGCATGGGAATGCTCTGCAAAACTGCCTACCCAGCCCTCGCAAGGACCTGCTATACTTTCTTGATCATTCTTATGGCTAAAAGTATCTAAAAGTGAAACAAACACTGCTTGCCACTTGCCACTTGCCAAGTTCCGATTTCCCCTGCATTTCGTGTCCTTGCTGCTGTTTTCGGCCTCGACCTTTCTGACTTTCAATTCCAATTGGTCCTTCACCTGTGAGAAGAAATCGTCAATCCAAATGGAACCAGAATGAACACAACACACAATGCACAACACGGTACAGCACCACAACACAGCATGTAACACATTCGAACATGTAACACATTGATTTGCACAGCACTTGTTTCAACCTTTGTCTGTTCCGCAGATTTTGTTCCTCTGAAAATTCTTCAGGTCGTTTCCGCCCATCCTTCTGGAGATCAGCCCGCTCTAGGTCGAGATCCTGAAGCTTTGACGTCGTTGAAGCGAGTTGTTGCTTGATCTTCTCCTCAGATCTCGCGAGTTGAGACGCTTTGTACGGTCGGTCGGTCAGCGTCAGACTGGCGCTGACCATCCAGTGAGCATAGTCCGGCTCCAGTCCTGGGTCTGCTCGAGTGAAGCATTCGTCTTCCTTGGTAGCATCGGAGATGGGATCCAACGCCCCGAACGTAGCGTCCGATCGCTCCGTTCGTAGCGATGCCCAGGAGCCCCTATATAGTAGCTTCTTGTTCCTAGTAGCGATGCCAGGAGCCATTTGTCTTCCTTAATGGATTTCATCCAGGTGGCTGCAAGTGCTTCTCTCTTTCCAAGACCTGGACGCTCCAGAGCAACTAGTGCACATCACAAGGACACTAGTATCCAATCAAATACAACGAACAACGGAGTAAATGAATCAACGAGCTTGAACTGGCTTGAGTATGAGTTGACTTAATCAATTTGCTAGAAACGATGTTCAACTGCCAAATTGAACATGTTCAATGAACGCAACACCCTGTCCACTTGCCTGCTTTAGATCTTGTCGCAGTTGCTGTACCTGTCTCAGTCACCAGATTGCGCCACGGTGGAGGTTGCGTCGACGCTTTGCTTGACATCTGTGAGATGAGAAGACAGGATGCCCAACAAGTCGCCTCCTTGTCTTTCTGTGCTGCTTCAGTGCAAGCGCGGTCAACCTCCTGCCAGTTCGTACACCATTTCTCTCAGACTAGGTCGAACTTGAGCATTCATGGACATTCTAGGACTATGCCAATTCGAGAATCGCAGGCATTGTTTTGAGCAAACATCCACCAGCCAGAAACCTTTGTTCTGCATGCGCCCGGCTCCAAAATGGCACGGGAAATGCATTAACTAGGAGAGCAAACCACGTCCGCTGGAGCAGTCACTTGCAGTCACTCCCAAATGCGGATTGTGCCTGGGATGTTTTTGGACTCACAGCAGTTGGGACTGCCTGTGGAAGCCTGTATCATCTCAATAGGGCTACAAACCGGGGTTTGAACCTTCTTTGGAAGGCCACCATCGTGGTTCTTCAACGTGGACGTTCTCGTGCTTTTTCACTTCGGGTTTCCATCTGATATGGAGTTTGCATGGGGTCTTGGGGCAGCGCAGAAACCAACAAAATGGCACACCCGGCTCCCGATCCATGAATAGATTCCGAAGCTTCCAGGATGGCATGAAACCATTGTCTGAGCATGAATTACACTTTGGACAATCTCTTTTCAGCTAAGGGACTATCTTTTGTCGCAAAACTTTAGGTTGGGGCCATTGCTATTAGGTTGGAGGCCGTCGCAAGTAGGTGTCTTTCTTTCTCATCACCAGGGCATCAGGTCATCGGGTCGTAGAGGACCGGAGTGTGCCGTGGTCACCGATATCGACGAACGATCACCCGAAGAACCGGACGTCACCCTGGTCCACCTCCCAACCACCCAGGCCCTTTGAGGGAGCAGTGAGCCCCCCTGTAAAAACCACAAGGGAGGAAGTGGGAGTAGTAATTACAGTAGCTTAAATGTAGATAGAGAAAAAACCTGAAAGCAGGTACATGATGAGAGAATCAATCCAAATAATGGTTGAAACGGGAGGGAAATAACAAAAATAACTAAAATGTGATGGTACCGAAGCAATGTCCGCAGAATGTAGTATTGAGATGTGAGGACCCACTTGACAGGGCAAGAAACCTCGAACTGAACGACGGCACAGTGGGCAAACGCGCGGAGTCCGCGCATTGATCTGCGCAGCACATGGCTCGCAAATACAGAAATGCCTTACAGAGCAAGTGTGAAGAGTGCTGGGTCGGAAAATCTCAGTCTGAGACATTAAGCGAGCTAGACTCATGTGATGGACTGTGCCTTCGTTTAGTGTTGCAGGTCTTATAGATTCCAAGAAACGCCTAACTCCCCAATGCTTCCAAGATACCCGCACGGCAAAAAGGCATGGGTTTTTGTGGTATCCTTCCACAGCGAT